ATGGTTGATCCTCTGTTTAAATTTGAAAAGCATATTAGCACTGTTATCAAAGTCAGTTTCTTCCAGTTGAGGACACTTGCTAAGATCAAATCTTATCTTCCTTTGACTTACTTTGAGAGAGCTATTCATGCATTTATCACATCGCGTTTAGATTATTGCAATTCTTTGTATTTAGGGCTGGACCAGAGTTCTCTACAGAGATTGCAGGGGGTGCAAAACGCTGCAGCCTGTTTGTTGACAAAAGCAAGGAGACGTGAATCTATTAGCCTCATTTTGCGCACCCTTCACTGGCTCCCTGTTGTCTTCCGTGTAAAATTTAAAGTTTTATTGATAGTTTTTAAATGTTTAAACTCTATGGACCTGTCTCACTTAATTGAACTTGTGCAGCTCTACCTGAGGTCAGCCGACCAGCTTTTGTTTGGCCGTCCATAAAGCCAGGTTAAAGACCAGAGGAGACAGAACTGTGGCTGTGGCAGCACCCAAACTGTGGAACAGTCTCCCTTTGTCTGTTAGGCTCTCACAGTCAGTGGGTCAGTTTAAGTCCAGACTAGGGTTGCCGGATTAATTTTTTTTTTATTTGGCCCCTCTTTTTCTGCGCACATTTTGACCAAACACAACAAACTCCTTATCTTTGTACAACACTCTCCCTCAGCAAATAGGACTGAGTATTAAATATTCAGCTTAAGGCTACTAAATGCTACAACTACTGCTGAAGCTTTATGCATTCTGGTTTAACTGTTTAATGAGTTAATTTATTAACAGAATAATTATTCATTTAGATTTTTACTAATTTGCAGAAGAAATTGAACAACTAGCAACATATTAAGCAGGGTAATTATCAGATTTAACCAGTCATAGCTGGATTCATTAGTTTCTGCCACCTATTTTTAGTTCATTTTGCAGATTTTCCACCAACATAAGGCACACAATTGTATAAGTGTTTAACTGTTAGCAAAATATCTCATCAACCCCTCAATGGATTGCAAGGAATCTATTAAATCATTGATGTACAGCTGAATAACTTTCAGCTGAGTTTACATTTGGTGTGGTAGTAGCTGAGTATGATCCCCAAGTCATACTCTGGGCTCCAACAGATTGGTGAACATTTGTGTTTAAAAGTTTGGCCTTTAGGAGAGCGATACATTCGCTACCTCAAAAAATGCAGCATTTTTATGTAATCTGTCAGCTTGGTGGCTTTAACCTCTGCAGACACCTCATTAAACTATTTAAAAATATGATTTTGTGTGATTTTGCTTGACTTGATAGCAGGAACAAAACATTTACTTATTCAATCATTGAATAAACACAAAAGTAATTAGAATCATTTAGTATGAAATTATGTATTTTTATTACTATTAAATGTTTCAGTACAGTCTGTGCCGAACAGCTGTTTTTTTTTTTTTTTTTTTTTTTTTTGTCATTTAGTTTGTGCGTCAAAAAAAAAATCATTACTGTTGCGTAACGATAGCAGTTTTTGAACCGCTTTAAGTCTTCGCGCTTCCTGTTTTTTGGACCCACTCAGATTCCGTAGAATCCGCTGCAATCAGAGTGACAGCTTCTGAGAGCAGAAAAACTTTAAGATGTCTCACTCTGATCGCATTCTTATGTATTTTTGTCGAACCGAACCAAAGAAAGACATTTAGAAAAAAAAATATATAGTGTTTTAATTTTTAAAAGAAACGTTAAAAATGACAAGAAAAAGAGAGAAAGAAATAAAACCAATGTATGCATTTTATTCAGTAATATTGTTCTGTGTTGTGTTTTTTCATTCAAGGCAAAACTTCAGCATTTAGAGCTGCTGCTTTTTCTTTTATTATTTACTGTTCAACTATTGCAAATGGGTTTGATTTCGAGTTTCTTCTAATTTATTTAAAGTCATATAGTACATCATACTGAGTTTTTTTAAGGTAATTTGAATAAAACTGCTGAGTCATTCAGTTTTACTCATCTGAACCCTGTTAAGTGCCTGTGCTAATTTTTGCAACCTATACAAAGTAGACACACTAAAAAAACAAGAAGGTTTGGCTTCTTTTAAATAAAATGCGTTGAGTTTATTTTTACTGTAAGATCATATTTACAGCGGGTAAAATAAGTATTGAACACGTCACCATTTTTCTCAGTAAATATATTACTAGAGGTGCTAAAGACATGAAATTTTCACCAGATGTCGGTAAC